TATTCACTTTTCTTATTGTGTACTATATTACTTTTTATCTTTGTATCATGTTCGAAATAAATTTCAATTTCAATCAGATCATCTCTGTCTGGATCCAAGATGTCAGTAAAGTTTAATCTTAAAGGTTCAAAGGTCAGGCTTGTATAATAAACTGTCTGCATTTCCACTGCATTCATCAACATCATATTGTATATATTATTCTCTTCATTGAGAATGCAGTCATTTCTGAAATGACTGTCCAGCATGTTGCTGCCAAATTGACATTGCAAGTTCTTTCATGAAATTCCAGCCTTGAATTATAATATGAATATTAGTTTTTTTTTATCAGTTTGTTGGATCAGAACCAACAGTCTCACAAAGAGTTTACAATTATTCATTTCAGAAACTGTGAAAATCATGTCTTTAAAGTACTAACACATAAATTCAATATGAAGTCATGACAGATTTTTGGATGGATTGATATTTTAGAAAATAGTAAAGGGAATCAAATCTAAAAAAAGCAATATTTTTCCCACAATCCGTTTTCTTTTCACATACTTGTCCAGATCTGAAAAATACTTAAGCAGACTCCATAGGAACTTTATAATCTACCACCTAGTAGGAACAAAATTTATATGACAGATTTTATGTAATAATAATAATTCATATAAAGCACTTTGAATTGCCTTGTTGCTGAAAATGTGCTATATAAATAAAATTACCTTACCTTATCCTGCACCAATATGGATTTAATAACATGTAATATTAGTGATCAAATGTCCACACACAACATAGAGCGTTGTAACAGTGAACTTTCTACATCAGGATTCATCATGTTGCCATTCTTCACTATGCAAAAGTGGGTGGGTAGAAAGGACCCAACTAAGGAAAGAAAAGGTAAAACACTTTCAAGCAGAAATGAAGACTGACATTTAGGTTGTTTTTTTTAAAGGATTATTTTCCAAAAGAACCTTCTTTTTCCAAGTGTTCCTGCCTAAATCTGTATTTGTTTGTTCTGCTCTTTTAGTTAGCCATTATTACCCGAGTAAAAACCTTTAAAAAACTCTGTTGTTTTGCTATCGTACACATTAATCACAGAGCTGTAATTTTAGCAGGTATTCATACCCCAGCTCTTTCTAGTTACCTCCTGCTGCTGCTCCTGGGGATTCTGGGGAACCCCACAGGCTGGAAACAAGATAATCTCTCCAGAAAATCCTCTGTTGCCTCATTGCCTCCACCTGGTGGGTCAAATCTGAAACGCCATCCTAAATCAAGAAGGTATCTACCAGATATCTAAACTAATTTGCTGCACTCTGTTGCAAATGTGTAAATTCTAAATCTCCATACCTTTTTTCTTTGCACATAGTGAAACATGCTGGTGATATGAGGGCAGCAACCAATTACTTAAAATGTTTAGATCTGTCTCCTGGTGCAACTCTTAACGGCAGCAAACAATTCATCTCAAAACTGGTCAGAAACAATTACAAATCTGTAACTTTTTACCTGTATAAGCCTCTCTATTTCGAATCACTTCATTTAATTAAGCTTTCAAAGAGCATCTTCTTTTAGTTCAGTTTATTTTTGCAGTGCCAATTCCCTGCACACGTCATTCTAGGGCAATTTCCAAGCTAAATATGTTTCTGCCATTTTCAACATACAAAAGAATTTAAAAAAAAAATGAAGAAAACAAACAAAACCAGATCAATAAGAGTTTCCTCACCAGAAACATTCATGTCCTCTGCACAGACTTCATTTTTTGTCTCGTCCTCATTTTCTTTACTCTCTGTTGCAGTGAGAACACGGGCCAGCACTTTGGACAAACCTGAAGCAGCCTGACCTGTTTGACCCTGAACACTGCAGGTTGATTTATTCACAACCGCTGCTGAAAGACCTCTCTGGACCTGCAAGATATGAATTAGAGAGCAAAAACACGTAATGCACCAATATTTGAAAATGTGTTTTCCATCATAGCATCTCAGGAACAAAATGTTAGGACAAACTTACTTTATCCAGAGCATTTCCCAAGCCAAGTTTAGGGGCTAGAGGCTTTGATTCTGCTACAGGGCATGAAGCAGATCCTCCTAGTGGCACAAAGCGAGGTTTTTTCACAGCATTACCCAAAAGCTGACTGGGAGCTCCTGAGCGTCGCATCCTTCAAGCATAAACACAAAGACTGTAATATAGGCAAACTTACAAAATCATTACATGATCAAGTAGTTATCCAATCTTCTGTGCCTGCTCTTGTTGTAAACTAAAACTAAATACACCTTAGTGTGTTTTGCAAGCGGGAGGCTGTGGGATGAATAATCTTATAGCTTTCACCACCTTTACCATGCTGTCAGTATTCAACTAATGCAGAACAGTCTGTTTATAATACATTTCATTCCACCAAGCTAACAACCTGAAACAAACATCTGATGGTGTTTAGCATTTCCCCATGATGTAACCGAGCTAACAGTTTTTTTGTTTTTTTTACATATTCTGCAGTTTGTCTTAACAAATAAGTGCCATTACTCTCTTAACCCATCTATCAGGAGAAGGTAAAGGCGTCAACCTGTTTAATCGGCGCGCCAGGTTAGTAAACTAGCCAAAAAGCTATAGAATAACAGTTACTGAAAGAGTTAAAAGAGTTTAAACTCGGGCATAAAACAATTTTAGTCGACGCCTTGTACATACCTTGATGAGATTAAAGTTATATTACAGCATATAAAAGCCGAAACTCAACCAGCTACAAGTTACAACTCTGGACTCATTTCTGTTGTTTCTCCCGCTGAACAGCGGAAAGAATCTGATTGGTTTAACGCTTCCGGAAGGCGTGGCCAAAATGAAAAAGGTGTGTTTGGTTTTAACGTTACCACAGTGGCAGAGGCACACAAAGGTGGGGTCGGAACCCCGTTGACGGGGTTTTACGATTATTTTCTGTCTAAAAAGATATTTTTAAATGCTTAATATGTTTAAAATAGACATATTAGCTTTCGATTAGATCCGTGTTTACATCACACCACTATTTATTAGTCTTCCGTGGGCAACAAAGTAAGTGTTTACATATAAATATGTGGATATTCTTTAGTTTTCTCCATCTGCTCAAAGTCCTTTAATGTTTGGGGGGTTTTGGTCTCTCTAAACTGCCTTAATGTGCGTATGTGTGTCTGTGGACTAGTGACGTACACAGGAATTATCACAAAGTTTTATTTGTGTATTTATTTATTGCTGGTGGTTCTTTCTGAACTTTAATTGCCTGAGGGACCAATGTTTAATTTAGAATAAAATTCACATCCAAATCCATAGACACATTTACTCAAAAGGCTTAATGGACAATTAGTTCCACTGTTGATTTTTGGTTAGTTTCTTTCTTTCTTTTTTTTTGTTTTGCTCACTTTCTCATAATTTAGTGAAACCCTGCATTGAGCATTTATACATTTTGAATAATAACTATACAGTTGTTTATAAGGAAATTAACCTTTTACTGTAAAAGTAAACAGTCTGTTTAAGGACCACCACAATTAAGCCCAGTTCTGTAGCTGTTAACTATTTTCTATCATTGATAGATGCATTTTGTGTTCTCTCAACACATCTAGGTTCGTTAAAATTTCAGATACATTTAAGTAAGAAACGGCTTATTTCACAGTTTTTGCTCTGTAGCTCTTTTACTATTTCTCTGCTTAGTCTAACCTATAAGAGGGGGGATGACCTCTGACCCCTGTCCTGGTGTGTTTTGTGTCATCTGATGTTGTGTGCTCTTTAATCCAATCAGGGAGGGAGAGAGTGTAATCCATGTTAATCCCACATCCAGAGACGGACAGAAAGAGAGAAACCTCGGGACGCGGCAGGTCATTAAAGAGAGACAGAACCGGCAATGATCTCTAATGGCTATGTCCCAACACGGCTTTAATTCTTAGGCAGTAAGTGAAACGTCCTGCATCCGTTTCTCTCTTCTTGACTGAGTTTTTCTGTTGCTGTAATTCTGCCTCATCTGATCTCATCTAACAGCTGTCTGGCCGTTGTCAGGGATACCTCCCCGCAGAGACGCACGCTCACAAAAGGCAGGGGAGGGCTTTGCAGGAGAGGAGACCCTCACCTGGATCTGGATGGAGTGAAGAGAAGGGATGAAGGAGGAAAGCATGCAGCAACAAGAGAAGAGGGAAGGTTACCTGTGCAGGTGCATGTGAAGTCAAACACCAAAGAAGAGAAGAAGAAGAAGAAGAAGAAGAAGGAAGAGTTGGATGAAGTTAAGATTAACCTTTCAGGTAGGATAATGTTTTAGTGAGAGGAGAAACATGAATGGATTTCCTTCCCAGCTTTTTTTTCTTTTTTTTTTTTTTGTTGTTGTTCTTGTTGCAGTGCATGACCTGTGTGACCTCTGAAGCTGCAGGATGGGCTTTGATCTGGAGAGGTTTGTGGGCTACGTCAACGACGGTCTGCTCTGCTGCGTGTGTCGAGACGTGCTAGAGCGCCCCCTCCAGGCGCCATGTGAACATGCTTACTGCAGCGCCTGCATCAGCAGCTGGCTGCTCCATCACCACTCCTGTCCTGAAGACAGGCTGCCCCTGGATGTGAGCAGTCTCAGACCGCTGTACAGGTGGGTCCCTGCAGCCCACCCATCACTCCAAATGACTCACTGCTTATAGGGTCGTGCATATCTGGGAGGTTCTGCTTGTTGTTTAATGGCAGGTACATGCGCAACGACCTGAACCGGCTGCAGATCCGCTGTGTGAACGCAGGGCAGGGGTGCGAGGTGGTCTGCTCCCTGGAGAGCCTCCACTCACATGAGGATGAGTGCGAGTTTTCCTTCATAGCCTGCTCCAACACAGGTAAGAAAAAACACTTCCTAGCTGAGGCCAGGCATATGCGAGGTGATCTTTTTTTTTCATTGTTTCAATTTATATTACCTACTGTAAAGTTAAGTGGTTATCGCCATGGAAGTGTAGGCAACAAAGGTAACGTGAAACCACAAGCTGAACAACAGGTGGCTCGTCTGTTGTCATGGCGCTGAACCCCCCCAGAGACCGAACACAAAATTTTTCTGGGATCTATATTTATTTGATAAGCCGTAATGCATATAAAATATGTACTTTTTAACCCATGATGATGTCACTGTGAACATGTCATTGTCAGGTGGAGAGTACATTTGCTACCGATGTGGTAGGTACAGTGATAAAGTGTGAACATGCAGTGTGATTTTTTATTTTTATTTTAGTTTTTTTTGCAGTGCTATGAAAATTGCATCCGTTATTTCTGCTGCTGTCTAATTGCTGTGGAGTTTGCCGATTTTAAAAATAACTAGATGCTTATCACAAGCATTCTACTATTTAAGTGGTTGAAACTGAGAAATTTTGCATTAATCACTTTCTTCTACATCCAGTAAAGTGTTACTCCTGATCTTGTTACAAGATGTTAGAAGTTCTGCCATATTTAATTTGTATTCTTTTTTTGTCAGCGCTCACCACGTTTCACAAATTGGCAAATCTTTCTTCAAAGTAGTGTTAAGTGGATCTCTGAAAGATGAAACATGTTTTGGTTGCTCTATTTCTTCTCATTTAAATTTTGCAAATGAACAAGTCTTGTTTTGAGCTTTAAAATATTTGTTTTATTCAAAATTTTAATCACTTATTCCCAACTTCACCATGAGGCTATAGTTTTAAAATTTGTTGATGTTATGTTGATAGTTTGATAAATTCACATGTTGATCATCTATTTGGCTCAAATGGGTCATTAAGAATCCAAAATAAAGGTATAAATGCCCATTATGAATATGTGCACTTAAGATCGAAACTGATCACACAAAAAAGGAAGCACATTTTTGATTTTCCAGTAAATATTACAAAATGATCATTAAATACAGATAAGTAAAGCAGAGATAGACTGACAAAGGGATCAATATTAGACAGCCTCACACTTTCTGCTTTTTTGTTTACTCTTGCTACTAAAGGCCTTTCTTCCAACTCTTGTCTGCAAACAAAACTCAACCCTTAAAAAGCAGCAAAACTTCTTCGTGTAGCTGGGGATTTACTGGGGGTTTCAGTGGCGTTCTCCTCTCAGGTTGCCCGGTGCAGGTGGAGAGGCGAGGTTTGGAGGCCCACCTGTCCGAATGCAACTTCCGCAGCAGAGAGTGTCCCAACGGCTGTGGTCACACTCTCCACTCCATCGATCAGTCGCAGCACAACTGTGTGGCAGAGCTGCGCTTGGAGGTGGACATGATGAGGTTTGTGTCCTCACCCCAGAACTTTCCCACATTTTGTCACATCACAACTATGCTTCAGCGCCCCTTCTGATCTTGCCACTTTGTTGTTGTTGTTTTGTTTGTTTGTTTTTCGCAGGGCTGAGATGCTGTGCAAGGTGGAGGAGGTGAGACGAGAGATGGAGTCTCGGCTGGACTCCCAGAGGAGACACATGGTGCAGAAAGAGTCGCAGCTGAAGAGTGAAGTGGAGGAGCTCAAGGTGAAATACTGAAGTGCACAAGACTTAAGGATTCAAGTTATCGATTAATGAGTTAATCTAAAGTTGATTGATCTTATCGATATCGAATTGTTTGCATCCCTAACATTAACTAAAGTACATAGAGATTTCTCTCTTATTTCTCTAGAGGGTTCAGGTTGAAACAGTTCTTACTGAAGCAGTGATTTATTCACAGATGTGTCTGATGGGATGATTTTATTTTATTTTTTCGTCCTGCAGGGTCAGTTGTCCCGTGTGGTGTGCGACATGCGTGCCCTGCTGGGAGCAGAGCGTCTGAGGAGGCAGGAACTGGCAGAGGTAGAGCTGGAGAAGAGAGAGCTGCTGGAGCTCCTCAGAGACATCCAGCCAACCAGGAGTCAGCCTCCCGCCGAACAGGCAGGCGGGGATCATCAGCCTGCAGAAGACCAGCAGACATCCAGCTGGGAAGCTCACGCAGATCCACCTCGACACCAGCAGAGGGAGGCCTCGTTGCACGCCTCCTGCCTGTCTCTGCACTCAGCTCAGGCTCCCTGTGCTGCAGGCCCTCCCGCTTCACCTCAGCTTGGGGAAGGAGTCCGTAAGGGCGGCACCCGGAGTCTGACCCTGGACTGCATCAAGAAGAAGAGCCGCGAGGTGACAGTCATCTGAACCCACTGGAACTGAAGACGGCTCCATCTGTAATTTATCTGTTTTTTTATTTGCAAGTTCCAGCAGAAATCAAAATACACTGCTTTTGTACTGTGCACTAGTTTTGATAAATTATTGGTTAAAATAACAAAACGATTTACTTTTGACATATCGTTACTTCGTCTTCATACCTCTATTCCTACAGGGACTGGAAGCGGAGCATCCATATTGGAACAATTTAGTCAGTTTATTAATCATTAATCATGTTGAAATGTAAAGATTTGCTAAATAAAAGTTTCAAATGTGATGAATTAATCACATTACAGCAGATGTATGATTCAGTTTGAGTAAAACTACAATAATATTTGGATGATGTAGAAAATCATTGGTTAGTCATTGTAAGAAAACGATTATAAACTTATGGAACAATATTGAGAATGATTCATTGTTTTGGGTTTGGTTTATAAATTACCTAGGAATGTTCATTAGTATTTATTTAGCTGTACTATGAGAGTCATTTCAGGAAGGGAGTGAGCTTAATCCATGTTAATCCAACATCCAGACAGACATTTTGAGTTTGTAGCCAATGCTTTTGCGAGCATTTTGAGAGGAAATTAGTCAAATAAAGCTGAATGAAATGCAACCTACATGCGCATACCTGTTTGTATGTTTCAAGATCTCTTATGAAATACAAGGAATACAATTATCTTCCCACTTTTAT